GTAGGCACTCGCGATTTACGAGCATCCGACGAAATCCGATGACTCAGAGTCTACTTGGACCGCGGCCCGATCTTCGAAAGCCACGTCGCTAAGTGGGCCTGCAGCGCAATGCGGCTAGTGCAACACTTCCGACGGCTCACTCAGTGCACTCAGGGACCAAGGCCCGACTTACTTACCACAGTCATTCGCATGGTAGCTCTACCGATAGCGATGCACGCGATAGAGTTCCGGTGCCCGGGGCCAACCAGGGAAACTTATCAAGGTGTCACGCGTAATTCTTATAATAGACAGTACAAAGTAATCGATCAAACTCTGCTTTCGGAATCCGCGTAGTTTTACCAACCTGGCCCACCATGCTGATCACAGCTCTAAGAGGAGAGAGTAGCATTTCACCAGCTCATAATCTGCTCGAGGAACGTAGGCTTAAGACAGCCGCACGAATGCGAAGACTAGATGATTACCATCCGCTTCAACTTAGGGCCACGAAAATCACAGACAGCGCTCGCCACCGACTCGGACTAAATACATGCAACAAAAGTAGACTTGGTCTCGACAGAGTTCATGATTCAAGGGTCCAGAGGATGTACCGACTTCTGCCAGAGGCCGAACTTCCTCCACCGCTCCGACCTCCAGATATCCCCTCAGCCGAGACCTTGCTGGACAAGCAAGAGAGAAACGGCTAAGTTCATAAGAGAGTGGCTTCTCACCTTTCTACCCGACTGTCTCTATGCTCGCAGCGATAGTTCTGGGGCGTCCACCGACAGAGTATCATGGGCTTTTGTGACCTTTGTCGGTGACATTGGTAGGGTTATTGAACAAAGTGGCTCAGGCAAAATTATGAATATAGAGGTCTACAACGCGGAGGTTTATGGAGCTGTAGCTGCTCTCGAGGCAATCACGACCACGAAAAGAAATCGGGGTCGCAGTGCTATCTATGTCCTGCTCGATGATTTCGCGGCCGTCCAAGCGTCACTAGTGAGAATAACAGTTTCATCATGCTGGCGGATGCAAAACTTTTAGAAAATGGCCGCAAGAGCAGCTGCACCTGTAAAAGTAGGATGGTTCCCGGGCCACGCAGGGCTTGCAGGAAATGAAATAGTTGATGAGCTCACTCGAAGAGAGCTTGACTCGCTGGATAACGCTAGGACGATATGTGATGTGATGACCCTCATCCCATCTGGACAGAAAGCTCGGGAACTGGCCAGGCCATTGTTAACAGACTGGTAGCACTCGAACAGCCCTAAACACTACGCCGAACTCGAACTCGAGGTGCGGGGCAAGTGCGAGAAGGAAGAATATATCGGTAACGTTTCCAGTGCGGAAAGGTACTGAGAAGATGGCGGCACAAAATTATGAGACGGAGCACGCCAGCTCTTGAAATTACGCTCGGATCAAGTGGGTGGTAACTGTTCAGGGACTACGTCCGGAGGGGGGGGGATATACACAGTGAAAAGTCGAGGCAACGGAGGGGTGACAATGCCAGGCACTCTGTGAGACAGGAGCTATTGGGCATGGTTTTTAAAATGAAATATAAACGAGATTAGACTTAGGCGCATGGTGGCCGAAGTAGATGGGTGGAAGGGAGACGCTTTATGTTTTTCTTTTGTAACGCAGGATCTCGCGTCGAAGGTTTTATTTTGATTCTAGGCTACTGTATCCGTCAAGACTCAACAAATAGATGAGCTTTGGCATGGTTCCAGTCATCTTGGTGGGACGAGGCACCTGTACTTAAGTGTAGTTAACCTGATCTGACCCGGTCCTACTGGAGCTTAAGCTCCAGTAGGAGGGCGATGGGCGTCATGTACTTAGCACTTTAATGAACAAACAAGCACGTCAGGTCCAACGGTCCAGAGAACCAATCTTTAACTGTCCATTCCGATCAGTTCTAGCCATGTCTAGTCTCGTGATTTCCTCATATGATGAAGGGGTCGTCTTGTTGAGGGCTTCATCCAGTCACCAACGAAGATCTCCTTTATTTTTCTTCCTTTGTATTCCCCTAATATTGCTTCTATTTAATCCGCATTAGAGAATTAAAGAAGACAATGTTCGACCCTTGCTTTGGCCCGTCTCAACCGCACCACAAATTATAAAGGCTAAGTACATGAAGAACTTTTCAAGGACGAGGCATCAATGCCCCGACCCTCGTTGGATAGTGTGGCGGGTTTCAGGAAAAACCCCCGTAATAATCTCACGGATGGCTAGTTTTCCCAAGTCGAGTTTGAGGTGCCCCTTGCTGAGATGTAGACGCGTTTCAAGCGAATACTTTGACCATATCCACACAGCACGCCGTAGTTGTAGAGAATCAGATATTCCCTCGAGTCTTAATGATGGCTATCACTTTCGGATTCGTGAAATAAAAATCTACATGGATGGTACAGCCTTGGAAGAGGCAGGATTTTGATTTAGAGAAGAATTTTCCAAATTAGAGGGTGTTTTGAGCATGACGCCTTTTCTGGGTGGAAATGAAACGATGAATAAGTTCATGGTTGGATTGTCACGTCGAAAATAAGTTGCGCTGTACGTATGGGTAAATTCGAATAACTAGAACGTCCATCTCACATGAGACAAGAGATGGCTGACTGGAATCCAGGGAGATTCGACCTGATTTCTAGCGGTAGTTGTATAGAGGACGAAGAAGGTTCGCTTGGATAATGAGAGGGTTTGAAAATCTCTGTGTATGCTCTTGGAACATGGTCGACTATCCTGTGTAAACGAGCATGCACCACGTCGATGATTGCCTGTAAGATCCAAAGTATAATTAACTCATAAGCCAAGAGTCATTTATCATGTACACACGATAGGGCTCATATGTACATGGCCATTTAATTGGATATTCGTGAATGTGCAGAACGAGCGAGACCAAAATCTTATTTTTAATTAAAGTAGAGAAGATTGAAGAATAAAGAATAAAGATAGATTCTCCTCAGTAGACATTAACAAAATGGAAAGGGAAGGAAATCTCAACACCTGAGAGCGGTATCCCTTACAAAGTTCCAGCTCTCGTTCTAGAGTCTGCAGAGGCGAAATTGAGTCTCTCTCTTTTAACCTTCGAGCTAAGCTATTCTCCCTTCCCTCAATGATACACATCCGATAACTCCCGCTACCACAGTAGTGATGGTGGAAAACACCAGAGATATTACCCTGCAAAACGCATCAATAGTTCATTAGTGTCCTTTATTAGTTATCAACTATGTCGGACAAAGTATCCACGAACAGCCTATCTTTTTCAATCTAATTTGATATCCCTTGGAATGAACAGTGGGTTCTCCCATCATGGTTCACCAGGGGTTATCAACCGAAATAGCGGTAGACGGAGAAGCCCTCATCGTATCCTAGTTTATGCTACCCACCAGCAGAGAAAGATACTCCTAGCCTCAACAAAGCAGATTTGGACCCACCAACGAAGTCCTGACTTCTAATCATAAATTCTGGCTCCACTTTCTAGGAGAACATCCCAAATGCTCGAGGTACTCAACAAGCCTATAACCGTAACAAATTTCGGGTGCTGGGCTAGGCCAGACTCTTTGACGGCTACCACTCTCGACTAAAGGTTTTCTGAAATCCTTTCAAGACCTTCGGTTTGTCCTGAGAAACGAAGAAAGGGGGTGAGAAGTGGAAGATTACGAAATATGAGAGGAGCTCTTGCGTTCACATAGATCAGCTACTCGTGGCTGGGCGGTCTCTTGGAACGCTTCTCAGGGGTAGTTTTGTCTTTGGATTTAGTCCTGATATCGATATCACAAGAGTCTTGCACGCAATGTCTTTTGGGACTTTTCTCGGTAGCTACACACCTATAAATGGCCATCGCTTCGTTAGCTAGAGAGGTTTCATGGATAAACGTGGCGGAAACTAGGATGGTGTCTCATGGGGAGTTCCATTCTAAAACACAACTCGGGGTTAGATCAAGTTCTCAAACAATTAGGACAGGCTCAGGAACATAGGGTCGTTTCATAGGGATTGCGCAGTAATACTGTTCGAGACAGAGCTTAGGGCTGTCCTATTATCTGATGTACATATATACCCAGCGTGAAGGAGTATTCATCTTCACGCAACGTCTTCTGTTTATACTCATACCTATTGTTCACGTACTTATCACTTCTCTACAGAAGACCGCCGTTATTCTACCCTTCTCACCTACTACTTATTTTACCTTTACTTCTTCCGTGAACCCTATACCTAACGCTGAATTTATACCTCCTACTCTTAGGAATCACCACCATACTCCACAACTGTAACCTACTTGTACCAAACTCGTACCCTACGGAATACTGATAACACGGCTCCTTGAGAAGAGGGGAGATAATGACGAGATAAGGGCTTCATTTGGTGTGTACTCAAATGAATACCAGCGGAAGTATTACTGATAGAGGGAAGTCGTGAGGGAGGAGTACAATTTCCGAGGTGTAGAGACTCATGGCATATGGGCAGAAATGACATAATTTTCTGCTCGTCATAGTGCTAATAGGATAATCCGCACACATACAAAATTGGATATCAGCTGTAGGTGCTGAAACAAAGCATAAAGTTAATCACTAAGATGCCAGGGAGTGATCAAAGGTTATAAATTTGAACCCTCCGGAAATAAAGTTCACAAGTCGAGCACAAACAGCGTCATTTAGTAATCAAACTAGATCTACTTTACACCCCTCACGAGCTCCAAACATGGAGCCATTGCATTGAAATTTGTTTCTGAAGGTATTCCTATAGCTATGTAACTTCTGCGGGTGATTGATAGAATTAGAGTAAGTGTTACGAGTGTTTTGATATTTAACACCTGTCCAGAACTTAGAATAAAATGCATTACTGGATTTTTAATGGATGCAGGAGATGTACACTCTGATCAAATCCCTTTTAGCACCCGGTTCTCATCATGAAGCAAGAATTGTTAGGCCTCGAGAGACATCCCTGCATAATTAACTAATTTTGAAATAAACGCGACCAGCAATAATCCTGGGTCCCATGCTATGATCCCTGCGTCGATCTGATTGAAGCCAACAGCCTTAGAGATTTGCAACAATTACTCCGGCACCGAATAATGCACCAAAAGACAAGGCGCCAGTTGGATGAGATGCAGCATTATCTTTTGTGGCTGTGCTAGTGGGTCCCATGCCAGAATTAAGGTCGCTAGTTTTACTAGCTATTTCACTGGAAATACTGCCTGCTTTCGAAGAGATAGAAGATACTTTTGAGGAGACAGAAGATGCTTCTGAGGCGAGTGAGCTGGTCATAGACACCATGTTTCCGGACGCCTCGCTCTTGAGAGATGAAGACTGAGCGGCAATTGAGCTAGTTACAGATGACATGTGTCCAGCGATTTCGCTAGATATAGAGGCGACTTGCGATGAAGCTTCGGAGGCAAGAGGTGGTCCTACATCTCCTGGCAGTGGGGGTGCCGTAGCAATGCTAAGTGGTGCATCAGGAACGCCGGGAAGACTTAATTGAGCCTGAAAGTCTAATGTTAGAAACTCAAGTAGCGATTAGTAAGATTAAAATTGGAACTAACAGAGATAGTAGTAGCAATTGTTAAAAGAAGCATATTGAAGAACTGCATGACTGCGATTGATGTTTTTTGTTGTAATATGTAGAGTCTGGGTGGGCAGCTTCAGCTTGTTGAGGATAATGGGGTGTGTATGGGGAGGACTAAGCTTTAATAAACGACGCGTCGGAATTAAATACAGCTTGAAAAAGGAATGTGACGTATTGTACGTCATCTCATTGGAGCTACATCATCATGACCTACCACTCTGAGCAAGCGAGTCTCAGCCTTAGTCACATGCAAGTACGATGATGATACTAGCCAGTTATATGATAATGGCCTCCCAGGGCTGAGGACGGAGAGAGGAGGCCCTTCACCAGCTATAACGAGCATGGGTTAGAAAGGTGGTATTGACAGTACAGCTATCAACTACGTATATTCACTGAGACCACCGATAGCGGGGTATTATTCTCACTATTGCATGAACTATGAATTTTATCCAAGCAGAAGTCACAGTTATCCTCGGGCTACCTTAGCACTGCATCAGCAAATTGATTGGGGTATCGGCAAAGAGCTTGGTCTTACAAGCTTCCCGTCTCGACTGCAGTAGGTGCACAGGCTACTCGCCTTCACTTGAAAGACGCGAGACTGTCTTGAAATATTTTTGGGGTCTCGTGCGCGCCCTTGGAATCGACATGGTGGCGGACTTCATGCCCTGGAGTGGGCCAATATTTCCAAACTACATCCCTTCCGAGACAGAAAAGTCTTTATTCTCAATCCCATTCTTATTCTTCCTGCGGTCGCAAACATCCAATAAATCTTCCTTGCCGATCAGTGTGCCGCTGCTCGGGATATTTTGCGGGTGTCGGTAGCGTTAGTGGGTGTTTGTAGCGGGCAATTATGGCTAGGTATCTCGTCTACGAGTATGGTTATTAAAGAGAGATATACTATTTCATACTCGTCGGACATTGGATGAGGCTTTCATTGAAGTCAGACCCCATAGTTAGAATGGGACTTGCGTAGTTAGTAGCCTTTGAATTACAATATCATAGGTGAGCGTTGTACAGAGGATGGAATCCGACTGAATCTCAGCTCTGATGAAACAAATTACACAAGTTCATAGCAGAAGCTGCCATTGGGCACTTAACTTCCGTGCTCTGATCAGATTAGGTTAGCTTGAAGAAAATTTGTATTGATCTGACTTCTATAAGGTCGCATCATCCTCTTACTATTCCATCAGGACTGGGGGACCACGGGAAAAATGTCTCGGGTCACGAAGAACTCAAGACTCGGTTGATTCGCATGATCGAGATTATTAGTAATTTAGCAAAGGCTTCTGCGGGAGATTGTGCTGGCCTCTTTCTTCTAACTCTCTGATGAGGAGCACAGATCAATTATTCACGTCAGAAAAGATTGAATAACCAACGGAGCTTTCGGGGTCCCGACGTCCTGATGAAGATGCCAAGGCTGCAGCTAATTTACGAGCTAGAGGCGCCCGCATAGCTTTAACGACCCATCGACATACGCCGATCCGCCTTGATGCTTCGACCAGACGGGAGGAAAAGGAAAGGGGCAGATATTAATGGCATAGCTGTTATCCCATGTCCAAACGAGTGGAATGAGTGGTGGAATGAATCTCCGCGCAGAAGTTAGACTGCTCCGCTCGACTCAAGGAAGATTTGGGGCCGCCCATGACGGACGGTCAGACAAGCAAGATCAGCGCCATAGGGCTTTCGGATGCTAGCGCAATTTTGAGCAATGTGGTCGAAGATCGGATAGGATAGTCATCATATCAAGCATGACTATTCTTAGCAATGTGGATACCATAAAAGAAGGAGCGTGCGAGCCATGTCATGAATTTGGGTCTAGTTATTTTTAGAAAAGCTACTCATTGGTTGGTTCTTAGTGTGCCACCCGAGTCAAAGATCATCTAGCACATTAGACTTCTCTGTCTCAGGCCACGACTTCAACGGTGCCCCTATTCTTTATTTCGAAAAGGACGTTTGACTAGTCAATTATAGTTATCACGATGTTAATTTTTTTGTCTACGATCATGGAAGTCATAAGAGATATCTAGTAAAGCGCTCATGATGGAAAGCCATCTACCTCAGTAACTATCGGTAGAATCAACCTTCTTTTCCGGGGAACCTTCTACCCAAAAAAAAAAAAAAAAAAAAAAAAAAAAAAAAGGTAGCAATGGAAACTGCGTGCGAGGGAAAAGTCCCAAAAAACCTGCAGCCCCGGCCAGGCGAGGCCTAGACACCGGGTCCACATGAGGTGCGCATATTCATCTATATCTCCCTTCTTTGCAACATTCGAGGCCGACTTGATCCAATCCACCATCTCCGTATCGGGTGCTGGGTTACGCTCCGCAAACTCATCGGATAGCTTCTCCTCCATGATCAAGGGTTGGTGATGAGTAGGGCCCCGACCCTACCATCTGATCTGATCGTGGTTAGCTTCATGATAATGGTGATATGCTGTGGTGAAGAGTGACGAAGACGCTACAGACCGCGAGCGATTGGGAACCCTCGTCAAAGTGAGGACAAAGTTGCCACCCAATATCAGTTTTGCAAGGTCTATAGTGAGAGCTGAAGGTTCCGAGGCAACATCTACAGGTGTCGAGTTTTTGCCCCCTAGATCCTTCTTGTCTAAACGCCAAAAATATATATGACTCTAGCAGTACATCTTCCCTTGTTCCTCTAAAATTTACTTCGAGCAGCAAAGTTCCTCACAATTTCTCATTAGATCCTATCCTTGAACGAGACTTTTACCTTCCACTGCATACTCCTTATTCAATCAATGAAACAAGGTCCTTGTTCGAGATTATGATATCCAGAAAAACTTACCAAAACCCATTTAATACGAGTCTTTCCCAACACCAAAACCAGGAATAGATCCGAATAAATGGCTAGTTCTTTGAAATATCCCAATCCGCAGGCCAACCGTCACTTTCGCTTCGGAAGAACGATGGATGTGGGTATGACAAAGGTCATACACTAAAAGTCTATTAGTTCACTTAAAGTTATGAGAGTACTTGTGTAAGCATCTCGAACTATCGTTCAGAAGAAATGCGCATTCATTGTTTTGTTTGTTCATTTGTTATCTTCTGAGTTTATTATTAATTCATTTTATTGTCCTGTCTGAGTCTATGACAATGTAGGACATGCAGGTCCTCTCTGCCTACAGGCCAAGGATACCTATACCAGTAGTATATCCCCTCCTATGCCTCCCATACAGCTCCCCTCAAACAGTACCACCCCTCACAAGTTCTCATTCGATCATACACTTAGAGGAGCCCTTAGCCCTTCATTATCTCCCCTCTCCAGCCAACGAATCGATGGCCATTTGCGAGTGTATGGCAGCAGGTAAAAATCGCAAAAACTACTGGGTGCGGAGCTCTCCTAATCCCGACATTAGGACTAAATCCGAAGACATAGTGATCGTTCTGAAGCGTTCGGAGAGGCCGGCCAGCCAGGCGCTGCAGACTTGTGTGTACCTCGGAGAATTCACCCTCTGCCTTTCTAGCCTCCTTCAAACCCCCTCCCGAAGGTCGTGCTGAAATGTCAGAAAAGTCTTGACTGAGCGTGATTGCTGTATGGTAGCTTAGCCCAACTTCTTTTGTGCCGTCCAGGGCGCTAGGGAGTGCCGTTAACTCATCGACAAAAGAAGTCCTCCTGGTTAATTATCCAAAATCTTGGTCTTGGCGCCCACAAAAAATCCAAAGTTGAAAACCACTCGAAAATGTCAGTCCCAGCATGATCTTCAGAGACCAATTTCCCCTTTCGCTCCACATCTCGGCCGTCTGAGGAGGCGATCATCACCGCGGCGAAGGATGTCTCTATGGCCGAGGCAACAGGTTTCGGAGCTCTGGGATCTGAAGAAGAAGTTTGAGGACACAGCAACCTCGACGATGTCCCTTTTGGGGCATCTACTGACCAATAGCAGGATACCGGCTGGATCAAAGGCGCCTGCTGACTCACCTCTTGCTCTCAGCGGAGATTGAGTAAATTTGTCATTTGGAAGGTGTGACAGACGACGGAATGTGTGAGGAGCACATTGCTTGGGTCTAATGAGGAGGAATCTTCTGGTTTTCGGAGGTGTTTTGATTTTCTTGATTTTTCGTTTCAGTTTAATCAGCTGCACTTTTGGTAGCGATTCACGAGGTTGGAACGGGTTAGGCTGTAGGAAAGATTACAGGGAGCCCTGCCGGATCCGCCGGCCCTTGACCCAATGTGGAAAATATAGCTTTAGCTTAGGACCAAAGAGTATAAAAAAGATTCGGCCGCCTGTCCTTCCACAATTTGCATATCCCCATGAGAGCATCATTCCCCCAAAAACCAAAAACCAAGACCCCAACTTTGTATATTATGACTTAATTCCTTCCTTGCGGGTATACGTAGCGTCGTAAATTTGTAGTGAGTGATGGCCGGTATTGATTGAGGCAAGCTCCTGTTTACAATTGGGGTAACGCTTTTATCGGTCGTTGAGGCGAGATGATGTGTGGTTAGAAAGAGGTCGAGTACTCAGAAGATTATGGTGAGTGCTGCATGATTGAGAAGTCGTCAAATGGAGATTTGCATGTGTTTGCTTTCGACTTCGATTCGGATGCGATTCTTCTTGGCTATCCCAGATATGCAGAGCATACTGAGCGATCACACCGGCACCACTGGAGGGTGAAGAATTCGTCTTTGCCGGCCGTCGTTTGGCCTTAATTTACGTATAAGTAAGGTTGGTTCAATGCAAAACGAAACGCACAAAGTGAGGAATGTATTATGCCTTTATTTTCTATCTAAGAGGGGCACTATTCTCAACACCTGTCAGTGGTGTCCCCACGAACCTCTAGCTCTCACTGCAGAGTCTGCAGAGCCGAGATTGAGTAACACCTTATCAGTTTTGAGCTGAGTTATCTCCCCCTCCATCAAAGATACGCTTCCGATAACACATAAGACGACAAAGACGACGATAATGATGCTGGGAATGAGGAGAGATAATGCAGTACCAAACGCTACAACAGTAGTGTTAGACACTGAGGGTCAAATGAAAAATGTAAAGTAAAGTGGTATTGATGAAATCTCTGCTCCTCAACTCCTCTCCAGCAGTGATGCTATATACCCATCTGAAACTATTTCGAGGAGAGATTATCTTCTCCTCGTTTCCCAAAATTACATATGAAATATATTACATGTGTTGAAGATCAAAAGATCTCATGTTAGAGCTTTGACTATCCTGAACATCCTGAACATCCTAATCATCCTGAACATCCTAGTCATCCTGATCACCATATCCCTGGTGAGATATCAAAGCTCGAGTTAGTTAATCTGACAAGATGTGTCATCCCACTATCCAATGATTCTCATTACCATATTCAGTAGGTTCCAAACCATCAGATGTTTGACAAGTAGTCAGAGAAGCCCTCGTTATATCACAACATGTGTTACCCACCGGCGGGCGAACAAAGAGCCCACGAAAGCAATGAAAAAGACCCTTCGGCCCTCAAGAAAAGCAGATTTTGACTCGTCAATAGTACGGTCCCTACTAATCTATACCTCCGAATCTACTAGCCAGGAGAGCATCTGAAATACAAGAGTTACTCGACGACCCCACGTCCGTAACAACTTTTGGTTGCTATACTAGGCTCCTTCACGACTGTCACTCTTGACCAAGACTTCTCTGACATCCTTTCAAGACCTTCGGTTTGTCCTGCGGCATGAATCAAGGGAGGAGTAAGGAGGAGGCTAGGAAGGTTGAGAGACACTCTTAGGTATACACAGGTCTGCTGCGCCCGGCTGGCCGGCCTCTTCGTCATAGATACTACCGGCCTGTAGGCAGAAAGTACCAAAATGTCCTTACATAGTTATAGACCTTTTAGGACAACATACAACCAATCTATCAATCAATTCTATCTAAGAACATTATGAGCCTAGGCTTCGTTGTGTTACCTGAGTCATCAAGACGATGACTCAGCAACTGAGAGGTGCAACATATTTAGTGCACACCAAGAAGAAATACTATCCAACAGATACCATGTATAAATAGAAATTCAAGTTACATCTAATCTTAAACTTTCCTAAACATATTGGTAGTTTGGAGCCGTGAGACATACGTAACCCACACTATCACAAAGCTAAGCTTATCTCAATTTTAACACATTCTAATCTACTAGGAACCCCAATCAGGTCAAAGATCTTTCAAGCGACAAAATAGGATAAGCGTAATATTTAGGGTTTGGCGTAAGTCAGAGGGGAGCCCGAAGTGCTAATCAATGACTCAGGTAGTACAATAGACAAATAAACACCACTGTTGCGCCGGCGTACAACATGAGACTAAAGACCATAATCGGTTAGCTTAGTCTACTTAGACTATCCCCTAAAGTTAGCAAGCCCAGCCATAGCTTAGAACCCAATTAACGAGACAAGCGGCGGGGAGAAGAGGCCTATGCCGTCCTGTTGTATGTATCATCTCATCGAGTCGCTTCAACAGCGTCCACAGTCCTGTATCTATCCTACCATATATGTCAGTTTTAGTGCAATCTATTCTATGTCTCTCTACAGTCGTTTTGGAGAAATGTTCTCGGCTTATGTCCTAGAAGATACATTTTATTTCTACCATCTAAAGCCTTCCTTAGCTATTTGGTCTGAATTTTAGTAAACAGGAGACTGGAAAAAGGTTTGCAAATTATATTCTGTCTGCAAGAATTTTGGTATGACTATATCAACCTCTAGGGCATCGGAAAGTAGCTTGTAAAATTCGAGTGTGTATTGCTGGATCTTTTGATTCTAGTTCGTAATAAAGTAAAATCGTAATTAAATCAGATGAAAGATGACATCATGCGCCAGAACATTTCATTCTTCTACATTTAGACGTGGAATTATAACTACCGAGCCAATCATAACAATTTGTCTTGCTAAGCAACCGTACCTAGACTGTACCATTGGTTGTGCTTGTAGCTAACTAGGCCCTAGATTTTACCTCTGCAGTATTGAAGCAGACATTAAAAACCCCAAGGTATCTTTCCCCTAACATAGTAAATGATATTAACTTACTATATTATAGGCTCACGAACCAAATAGTGCTCACATATGTAAACTGTAATAGGCTAAAGTAAGAGCTATGCGTAATAAGGCACCCTTCGCTCCGTGGTAGTAACAAACCGATGATCTTTAGGCTGCATACACTCAATGATTTAAAAAAAAAAAAAACTGATGATCTATTTTCCGATTGCTCAGGATAATTTACCAGTTACAGGGGTTGAATAGACGAAGACGGATTTAATCATTGAGCAAATAAGTGTTTGATGTTGAAATAGATCCATGGCCTACACGACGAGGGAAGACCTGATGGTTATATAATCACCAGGAAAAACCTCAGCTCTTGATCATGACTTGTTGTACGGCGTGTAGCCGAGCTTGCCATAACACAAGGCATGTAAGAACCTGCTTCACCACTTCCTGTAAATTCAACTGGCACCTGACTAATTATGCTGTTACCAACACTTCTCCTTGGGGAGAAGGGTGGCAGAAGTTTTTCCAATTCCTAACTACAAGCAGATGTTACAGTCTGCCGAAGAATGAACAGGGTAGGAGGTGAACACGCTGAGACGGAGTCCAACTCTGAAGGAAATGTGATTGGAAGATAGTGATGCAGCGCAGGGCACTGTAACTCAGGCACTTATTGTTCCTTTTTATTTCTTTTATCGCTTCTGGCTCTAATGCCGGTCATGTGGGCAGTAATGAGCTCTCAGAGCCCATCTACCCGTGTCACGTCTAAATAGATGTTAGGTTCGTTCTGATACGTTAAATATTTCAATGTCAATTTCAAATTCATACAATTATGCTATTAGCTCAATAAAATTGGGGTTGACGCTTGTATAGGAACCTTTAATTCGCGCTCTCTGCGTCAGTAGCGGGGAGCCGAGTGAAGGAGGAGCTGCGGGGAACCATAGTGTCAACGACGGTTGAGATCACACGGATGAATGAGATTTGCTGAGAAGTTGATTTCTTTAAACATTTTTCGGAATAGGGAGGCGTATTCGACTTTGTCAAGAATGTAAGGTCACATGACCAGAATAATGTATCCAAGTAGCTCTGACGTTGTCTGTGCTAACCATTTCATCGCCGACCTGTATCATCCGTATCGAAAGACTCCGCTCCCCATCCGAACTTCTAGATAATTATCAGATAGACGTATCCTCACAAATATTAACAGATAAATTACTACCTCAGAAATGAGAGACACATACACAGGGTCTCAAGAAGAGTTGTCACAAGAAACGGCACATATATCGTCACCTCTCCGACCTAACAAAAGGAGTAACTCCTCGCCCCAAGCACGCTCAACGCTCGAGCTTTCGGGCAGCTCGAAACGTCCCAAAATTTCAGACACCCCCGTATCCACACCAAAACTCGACATGAACAAGGACAAAAACACAAATGCATTCACAACTAGACCCATTGACTTAACTGGCACTTTATACTTTGAACCGAGCTACGGGGCCAAGCGTCTGCAGATCAGGAACCTGAGAACAACACCAAGAAAAGATGCGGCCGAATATTACACCCGCATGAGAGAGGAAATAGATTCTGCTCTATCCTCGGTATTTGCGAACGGAAAGCCGGAATTGCCACTTGAAGTCCTCTGCCGTGGGGTTGAATTTACTTGCCGCCATGGTCAAGCTGAAGAATTGTTTACTTACTATCGAGATCGCTCTAAAGATTATCTTGAAAATGAATTATTATCACAGATTAAATGTGAAACTTCATCGACGCCTGTAGAAACCTTGCGTACGGTATATAAGTTTTGGATATCATGGTTCAAGAAATCAGTAAAATTTTCTAGCCGAAGCTAAATATGAAAGCTAAACGTATTTAGACTCTTTTGCGATCGATTTTCAGTTATCTCGATCGCTCATACTTGCTAAACTCGAAAGATCTGCCCAACCTAGAAGAGCTGAGTATACAACAGTTCCGACATGCTATTTTTGAGAAAGGCTACGATTTGGGTGGAATGAATTTGGGTGAGAGAGTTATCACCGATATTTGTGACCTAATCGACTACAACCGGAGTGGAAAAATACCGCTATTCGACGAATCTTTGTTTCGAGAATCAATACGAATGCTACATATTTTTGGTATCTACAACAAGCAATTTGAGCCATTATTCCTTGATCAAAGTCGTAAATTCTTCGAAAACTATGTGCAAACACATCGCGACCAAGGCACCGAAAATTATATTCCTGCATGCGATACGCTAATAGCACGAGAAAAAAAATTATATGATACATATAACTTTGACAGTATCACGAAGAAAACCCTTCAAGATTTGGCATATAGCCATTTAATAATAGGATGTTCTGATATTCTACTCGACAAAAGTGGTCTACAGAAGCTGATTGACCAGGACAATATTCAATTACTGAAGGTGTTATACGATCTCCTTAGTCTCTCAAATATACACACAAAATTACGAACTCCCTTTGAGGAATATATTAAATTCACAGGTTCTCTAATAGTCAAAAATACTGAAAAGCCTGATGAAATGGTAATTAGACTACTAGAGTTGAGAGGACTGACAGACAAAGTTATTCGAGATGCTTTTAGCATGAATGAAACATTTACTTACAGTTTACGAGATGCTTTTAGGAACTTTATAAATGATAAAAATAACTTAGAGGCCTGGAACACAAAGGGCTCCAAGGTTGGCGAGATGCTCGCAAAATATATGGATATGTTGCTGCGTGGTGGGTTAAAGGCTGTTCCTCAGTCTCTACTCTCGGATTCTCACAAACAAGCTACCACGGAAAAGAAAGGCCAGGCAGATGTAGGTGATGATGATGCTGAGCTTGATAGACAACTTGAACAGGCCCTTGAGCTTTTCCGTTTCATCGAAGGGAAAGATATATTTGAAGCGTTTTACAAAAAAGACTTTGCCCGACGACTCTTAATGGCACGGAGCGCGTGTCAGGATGCCGAACGAAACATGCTTGCTAAACTAAAAGTTGAATGTGGTTGTACATTCACTCAGAATCTAGAACAAATGTTTAAGGATATGGAAACCTCTAGAGATGAGATGACTGCCTACCGGAAGTCACTTAAAAAATCTAAGAAGGAAACTATCGATCTTCAAGTAAATATTCTTTATGAAGCTGCCTGGCCTTCATATCCCGAAGTTGTAGTTAACCTACCCCCTGAAGTGGCAGTTCATGTTGAGAAATTTGATAACTTTTATACCAAAAAACACTCTGGTCGTCGTTTAACGTGGAAAAATTCCCTAGCTCATTGTGTCATCAAGGCTCAGTTTAACAAAGGAGCGAAAGAACTTTTAGTCTCTGCCTTTCAAGCAATAGTTCTTGTCTTATTTAATAATGTTAAGCCTTCGGATCCCCTATCATATTCCACGATACAGCAAGTCACAGGACTAGTTGATTTGGAGTTACAGCGTACTCTACAATCTCTTGCCTGTGCTAAATTCAGGGTACTAACAAAGCACCCCAAAGGCAGAGAAGTTAACATTACGGATACATTTACCGTCAATACCAATTTTACAGACGCAAAGTATAAAGTTAAGATTAATCAAATTCAACTTAAGGAGACTAAGGAAGATAACGTGGAAACACATGAAAAAGTATTTAGGGATAGACAATACGAGACCCAGGCAGCAATTGTACGGATTATGAAAAGTCACAAGACTATGACTCACTCAAATCTGATAAGTGAAGTAATTGAGCAGACCAAGGGAAGAGGTGCAGTGGAAATTTCTGAAATCAAATCAAATATCGATAGTAAGTTTGTACATTTACATATACGGGATAAATTTAAGACTAACCAGAGCCAGAATTGATTGACAAAGAATATCTAGAGAGAGAAAATGGTGGTTCTTACGTCTACTGTGCCTAAAAAACTGTCGTACTAATTTCCCCTCTCTTCTCCAAGTTGGGAAATTAATGATTCATGATAAAAATACTCATTTGAGTTCCTAGAAAACCTCATAACTGTTAAATGTTTTTTACTTGTATACAATTCTAATTGACGATTTCCTCTGATGTCAACATTTTGTGTTGGCTTCTAATATGAAAGTTATATTATGCTTAGTTGCTGTTGCCACTTCTAGTTTCATGATTTTTATATTAATTCTTCACTTTAAAGTCATGAGAAGTTGTCAAAGCAAAGATGAGCTCATGTGGTGACTTTGTACATTCAGATTTAAAAGTAAGTTTAGAAAGATCGAGACTTGGTTAAAGAATTGAATTGTTTCGATTTGGTGCCCTATGAGATCATGTGAATGACTTGTTATCCTGGTATTTAAGATCGAACAAACTTGTTGGTAAACACCACCAATCCATTTGGACGATTAGACGCGTTAAGGTGTTACAAAATGGTGTGGTGATCTCTGACTCTTTGAAACAATGATAGTATACTAGTAATTCTATGATGCATTTGAGGAGAAGTTCACAATAGAAGGATGTCTCACGGGCAACTTAAACGGTATAGAACCTGAATTGAAAGTTCTCGTAGCCGCGCAATCACAAATTAGTGTACCAAAACGAGCATCATCAATACACAGCACCACGCAATCGATTCCGATCTAATCTAATGTTTAAATGGACTTCTCCATCGAAAAACATGATCATCTGACGGAATAGTGTTTCTGCTTTTCTATTATTAGACCTCACGCCCCACTCATCTCCAACTCGGCCATGCCTCCATATCAACCCAGACGGACACTATATAACGTGATAGTGACGGAGGGGCTGACTCTTCAGCCTAAAACTCCTTTCAAACGCACAACTCGTGATACGACGGCGGGAATCTTGGATGATGCGAATGAGCTTCTTCGAAAAGAACCGACATAAGTTTTCGAAATTTGAAAGCGTTATGAACTAGCATAACACACTCGTGTAATGTTTTTCAACTGCGTCATTAGCAGTATCGAGAGTGATTTTTCAGTTGTTCTGAAGGGTTTTAAAAAGGATGAGACTGCGGCCATCTCCCAGTACCTTTGCCAGGTCATATCACACTACTAGCTTCGAAGGCTGATTCCCCTCTTATCCCTTCGACCTATTGATCAGCATATATTGAAGAGGATAATTAAGATAAAAGACGATACAAGAGGGTCAATATTCCAGCGCCGGCTCCATCGTCCAGACCTTATAAGGGCCATATAGAATTGCCTAACAAACCACAGACTAGTCTGAGCTAGGCTATAGTTACTCTTATTAGCCGCAACGAAACTCGTGCCTCTATAAATAGAGAAATACCACCAACCATTATATCACACAAGTTAGAATCTACTCATAAGAAGACCAGCCGATATTGTGTCACGTTTAACCCTCGTTGACTTAGGTAGTTAGCATAAACAACAAGCGAGGTACAATAAGTAGAATGGTCCTCTTAGACTTCTTGTCGTTTCGTGATCAATCTATCTATTAATAAGGACATCGTCTTATTTCGTGACATGTTGATCACCACCTAGCTGAATTTACTTATTAGCGCATCTTTCTTCAAGTCATGGACAATTTAACCTCCCAACCCGTTCCCATACCTAATTTCGCATCCTACAGACGGGTCGAGCCCACACCTCAATCTTTTGATTTTGCTAGCAACCTCTGTGGCAACGAATTCGGGAACATTGGCCCTGTAGTAATCTCTGCCCCTGATACCGCTCCTATTTTAAAATATATCCAAGCCAGCCCTACTATCGCCCTACTCGAACTCCAGCAAGATTTCCACATTGCAGGAAATCTCATTGCACCTCACAGGGACCTCGAAATATCCGACAAGAAAACCAAGGAAAAAATTGGCATACTCGAATCTAATTTCAACGACCTTCAATTTGAACACAACAATCTATCCACGCAACATGAAGCGGAGATGAAAGGTGCACAAAAACTGATATCGGCTCTCAATCTACCTGAGCTCATGAGCTCAAGAAGCAAATGAAGAGAACTATCTATACCTTACATGGATCAAAAGTTTTCTGGTGCCGACAATAAACTACTAACCCCTTTCATTCGTGACTTAGGCAGAAAGCTCGAAGTCAACGCCGATTGGTGGGGCACAGAAAGATTACGAATGTTCTACGTTGTGTCATGTTTCCCCGAAGGCTGGATCGCAAAAAAAACAGTTGATAGTGGCTTTAAATCTGACGGTAAGATAATTTACAAATCTGTTGATGATATTATTAGCCTCCTTAAACAGACTTTCGGTGATGTAGACGAGAGTGCCACCGCACAAAGAGAATTGAAGGTGTGTTTTCAAAAGAACTAACCTCTTGCTACCTTTCCTCCTCATTGGATATCGCTCTCGGAGCTTTCTGGATTTAATGATAGCGCCTTAATATCTTTTCTTAAGGATGCACTCCATCCTGATATCAACAATCGCCTTTCATTCATTAAAAATTCGGATATTCCCGAGTTGCTCCACGATTTCATTGCTCTCGTACGTGAACAAGACGAAATTTTACGAAATTTAGACCCGAAATATTTCTTAAAAAACTGCCGAAAACATTATAATTACGCGTACAATCTCCCAACAGCACCCACACCGCTCCTAGTTCCCCAAAACATAGAGCTGACAACATCACAAGGAGGTTATGCCATGGATCTCAGTTCCATCCATGTAAATGGTCTCCAACTAGTCAGCAAGTGGACTGCAAAAGATGTGGGTAGGAAACCTACTAACGATGTCGAAAAAGCACATCGTCGCGCCTACAACGCGTTAAATAATCTTTGCATCGTTTGTGACTCCAGGGATCACATACCACGCTACTGTCCTGCATCTCTTCAAAATCGTAAAAAGAAAAAGACTGAAAATTTTTATAGTACAGTTATTGCTGAGGAGGGTAAAGGAAAAAATTCGGCTCGTCTACAAGGGCAGAAAATGTGTAGCTTCGGCAAAAGACACCGCCAGGAGCATATAACCAATGATATAGAAGTAACTGTTTGTATATCTTCATTTAAAGAAGATCACCATGATCATTTGCTATTACCTTGCAAATCTAGTGATATTAATGGAACAATTATTATAACAAAAGCTTTTCTTGACTGTGGATATACTACAACTTCTCTTATTGACATTGACGTGTGCGCAAATTACAAACTATACACTTACCCACTCCATAAGCCAAAAAAAATTATTATGGCTGATGGAACTGAATCAATTAGTGGCTTAATCACCCATGGAGCCAGACTTAAACTTCAGATCGGAAACCACTTGGAAGAAATCGACGCTTTGGTGACAAAGTTGAGAAATTATAATTTTATCTTGGGACTCCCTTGGCTTTCACTGTATAATCCTTTTGTCAATTGGGCTGCAAAAAAAGTTACCTCTGATAAAGTGTACTGCCAAAAATATTGCTTTGATAGCAAACCCAACTATTCGATACCTCAAAACCCGCCCCAAATTGCCTTTTTCAATAAATCTAAGTTTGATACGCCCGGGAAACCTAGGAATGTCGGCGCTGCTGCCTTTTTATTCCTAGCAGATCGGGAAGATGTAGAAATTTTCAGTACTTGTATTGAAGAGATTGATCTTGAGCTTCAAAAAAAAGAACATGGAAATATGTTGAAACAAAATGCTTCCTGTGCAAAAGTTTCACTTGAAGATATCCAGATCGCAATCGGCCTAAAACCTTTTGTTGACCCAAAAATCAAGCTCCCTTCGCATTTTCACCAGTTCCTTCACTTATTTGACGCCAAATAAGCTGATATTCTACCTGAACATCAGGATTGCGATCATAAGATTAATTTAAAACAGGGTACAATTCCACCATCAGGACCTTTACACCAATTGTAGACTAAAGAACTACTTGCTTTACGAAAATTTCTTGATGAAAATCTAGCAAAAGGGCTTATCCGCTCAAGTACTTCTCCAGCAGCTTCTCCAGTACTATTCGCCAAAAAGCCAGGAGGAGGACTCAGATTTTGTGTCGACTAACGAGCATTAAACGCAATCACGATCAAGAATAAATATCCACTTCCTCTCATACAAGTGACATTGTCTCAACTAAGTAGAGCAAAGTATTACACCAAGCTTGACATTATTGGTGCCTTTAATCGCATTCGGATGCAAGAAGGATAAGAATGGCTAACAGCCTTCAACACAAGATATGGCCTATTTGAGAGCTTAGTAATGCCTTTCGGGCTGTGTAATGTGTTGGAAAATCGGTATGGGTTCGATGAGTAAGGCAGCTTAAAGAATATGGGCGCGATTTTGTGAATAGAATAATAATGATATGAATCGGGAGAATATGTGATATACTGTGGATAAATAAAAGATTGGTTGAATGAATTGAATTCATTAGATTATCTGTCTTGGTGATTCCTAGACAGCTTATATACATGTATACTTGAAAGACCAAATCCAAACTAGATACCATCCATCACTCGTTCCATACTCTAACAATGACAATGAATCGCACGACAGTATACAACATGAGTATGGGGTCAGGGTCGGTGGATGAAAGCCTACACGTGTATCAGACCATACCATGCACTAGTCGAGTCTTGTCAGGTATCCCGAGACAGTTGTGTATACGAGGACGTCGCTGTTATGCTAAACATGTCTCGACATATAAACTGCATCAACTTGCTTGATACATTTGTATATGTTTCGTCCAGAGATTAGATGTTACACTAATTAGCCTAATACAATGACTAGCCCAATGTACTGACTAGCCTAATATGCTACAGTCTCAACATGAATAGGCTGCTAGCTGAAACGGCGGGAGAGTCTTGAAGGAATCTTGGACGGGAATATATGTATCTTAGATTTCTAGCAAGTAAAGGGATATACTGTTTTTCTCTCATCATCTAGATCTATGTCATTTTTTACAACTGCACAGGACAGTCCCTTACATTCCTGATAGTTATGAGCCCGGATTGACGCCTTATAGCTCA